AGACCTAGGCCTTACCACTAGCTTTCTTCTCAATCAACGATAATCATTTAATAGACACAAATACACAAAGCAGCCAAGTCCCTTGTGACTCAGCCCAGAGCCCAGGCGTTCTCCTCTCCCTTTGGGGAGGGCCCTTAATTACTCTTTACTCCTAAGGCTGCATAAATAGCCCAGCATCCTAGAAAGGCTACTCTGCAGCTTGTCTGCATCTAGATGCTGCTTCTCCGCTACATGCTGAGTGAACCCCACTGGGATTGCACAGAGCTGTTTTATAAACAATGCCCACAACAGTCTTGGCTCTCGGCGCGGGACGCTGCTGCAGGCGCTGGGCTGAGAGAGGTGCGGGACGCGGCTGCCTGAGGGGGGTTCCCAGGGAAGACACGTCCCTCTCAGAACTCACAGGTACCAGCTCTGGCTGAGACACTCCCCTGCTAAACCCACTTAATACAATGCAGGAACGAGGACATAGCCTGTGGCCCTCTCTGCCCTGCCCAGCCATTAACATGCGAGGGCCACAGGAGGTGACTCCAGTATCACTGGCCAAAATCTCTCTCCTTTCTGTGCACCCCCACCTGCCCTGACTGGTGTCTTCCAGCCTCAATGTGGCTGCATTTCCGTGGCACGGAGGATCTTCCCTTAGAAAACATGTTAGCAGATACACATTACAAGGCCACATTCTGGGATTGCAGCCTCTATATTGCACAGGCCCAGATGAGGCAAAAGTCTGCTTTGATAAGACCTAGGAAAGGACCTCAGGAGCCATCTGTGGGTTCTGTTCACCCCCACCTGCCCTGGCAGATGGACTCCAGCCTCAGCGTGGTTGCATTTCAGTGGCACAAGGATCCTTCCTGGTACCTCCTCCTCTCGCCTGTTAGGGCTCAGGCAGCTAATGGAGGGAAGGGATGTTATCTGGCTATTATCTGCTGGAAAGTGTGGATGTGTTAGGGCTTCTCACTAGAACAATTTTAAGAATTTTTCACATGGGCAAGACATCTGTACCACTGCTCATGCATCCGCACATTCATTTGCCTTTTATTTTTTTGGCAATAACAAAGAATACAGAGTCCATCAACCTAGTTCCTAACTCTTGGGGAATAAGGTTACCTACACTGGGGGAGGAACACTGCTGTTGGTGTGAATAGCACTTTGAAAGTGTCCCAGTAGCATTTTAAGGGTAGAAAAAGCCTGATGCACATCCTCTACAAAGGCATCTTTTCCGAATCTTCAGATATGGGAAGGAGGAGAACCCACTACTTCCATTTGTAGATGGTAACAACAGTTAAATCGCCCTCCTTGCTAAATTTGGCCCTTATTTCAAGATAGAATTGTTTGACTTCAACAGCCAATTATTAGGCCTGTATTGTACTTTCTCGGCTACACTACACAGTACATTAGTACCCACTGTTTCCTCCCCAGGAAAGTCTCTCTCAATGATGTTTTTGATACGATAAATAGATGAAGTTCTTTCGGCCTCTCACTGTCCATAATTTCCTCCAGCCTCCTATTACTTTTTGTGGCTCTTTTCGGCACCCTTTCCAATTTTTCAACATCCTTTTTGATATGTGAACCCCGGAATTGGAAATTGTCAGTTTCACTCCTTCCCGTGCTGCTATTCACCACTGCCTTGTTTATTCATCCAATGATCAGAGCAGCCCTTTTAGGAGGTCACATTGGGTGACCCACAGTGACTCCTAAAACCTCTTTAGGGTGTGATGCTTTATGCCATTTGGATGACTTGTTATGATGGTATGAATATCAATACCGAAAAATAGCAATGAGTAGTGTCATATAAGGACATACGAATGACCACACTGGGTGAGATCAAAGGTCCATCCAGCCCAGTATCTTGTCTGCGGATAGTGGCCAATGCCAGATACCCCAGAGGAAGAGAACAGAACAGATAATCCTCACCCCTCCTGTTACCCGTTCCCAGCCTCTGACAAACAGAGGCTAGGAATACCCTCCCTGAACATCCTGGCTAGTAGCCATTGATGGACCTAACCTTCATGAATTTATCTAGCCCTTTTTTGAACCCTGTTAAATCCTGGTCTTCACAACATCCTCTGGCAAGGAGTTCCACAGGTTGGTTGTACGCTGCATGAAGAAATACTTTCTTTGGTTTGTTTAAAAGATGCTGCGTATTAATTTCATTTGTGACCCCTAGTTCTTGTGTTATGGGAAGAAGTAAATAACCTTTCCTTATTCACTTTCTCCATAACGATCATGTTTTGATAGTCTCCTCCTCAGTCTCCTCTTTTCTAAGCTGAAAAGTCCCAGTCTTTTTAATCTTTCTTCATATAGGACCCATTCCAAACCCCTAATCATTTTTGTTGCCCTTTCCTGATCCTTTTCCAATGTCACACAGGCCATGTAAGGTATGTGAAAAAAATGTATTAACTTCGTATGTAGGGTTTGAATGTGTATGTCTGTATTTCAAAACGTGTTTTATGTTACACCCCTGGACAGTTTACCATCATGACTATCTAGCCTGCTTGATGGCTCATTAAGGACAATCAAATATTCAACTGAGGGGGGGCGGGGGGTTGCAGAGTTGCTGCTTCATTGCATACTTCTGTTTCTGAATTAGATATGTGGTTGACTTCTCAGTTCATAACACAGGTTCATATCTCTAAGGCTCTAGTGTAGATGCTATTTAATATCCTTTGACTACTAGGGGACTGGAAGGTATTTCATTTCATTTCAGTATGTGATAGGAGTACATCACACTATTCCTTTGCAAATACTTAACCATCCTGGGTACATCTACACTGCAAGCTTATTTCGAAATAGCACATCTTTACTACAGAGAAGCCTCAAAATTAGTCTGAGGCAGGCTTAGCTAATCTGGATGCGCTACCTCGATTTAGAGCCTCAAAAGGCGCTGAGGAATAATTAGTCTCAATGGCCGTGGGGAGGAGCTATTTCGAAATAGCAGCAATGGAGCGTCCACACTACAGCTATTTTCAAATAGCTATTTCAGAGCGGGCATTATTTCTCATAGAATGAGGTTCACAGATGTCCAAATAAGCCGTTCATTATTTCAAATCTATTTTGAAATAACAGAATTGCTCTGTAGACGCTCGCATTGTTATTTCAGAATAACAGCTGTTATTCGGAAATAACGCCGCTGCGTAGACAGACCCCCCGACAGTTGGGAAGTTTTTCCTAATGTCCAACATAAGACCAGCCATACTGGGCCATAGCAAAAGTCCGTCTAACTCAGTGTCCTGTACCTTCCAGAATGAGGTTTCCATTTTTTGCAACAGTGTCCACTGTTGACTCATATTTAGCTTGTGCTCCACTATCAACCCTAGATCCTTCCTAGACAGTCATGTCTGTTTTGTATGTGTGAAACTGATTGTTCCTTCCTCAGTGGAGTACATTGCATTTGCCTTATGGAATTTCATCCTATTTACCTCAGACGATTTCTCCAGTTTGCTCCAATCATTCTGAATTCTAATCGTACCCTCCAAAGCACTTGCAACCCATCCTAGCTTTGTATTATCCACAAACATTATAAGTGTACTTTCTATGCCATTATTGGAAGTCTTGATGAAGACACTGAACACAACTGATCCTGAAACTGATCCCTGCAGAACCCCACTTGCTGTGCCCTTTCTGCATGATTGTGAATCATTGATAATTACAATCTGGAAATAGTATCAGAGGGGTAGCCGTGTTCGTCTGAATCTGCAAAAGCAGCAAGGAGTCCTGTGGTAGGACTCAGAGACACAGGACTCCTCACCGAATCTGGAAATAGTTATCCAACAATATATGCACCCACTGTATAGTAGCCCCATCTAGGTTGTATTCCCTTAATTTATTCATAGGGAGGTCATGCAAGACTGTATCAATTGCCTAACTATGTATACCATCTCTACCACTTACCCCTTATCCACAAGGCTTGCTAGTCTATCAAGGAAAAGTATCAAATTAATTTAACATGATTTTTCTAAACAAATCCGTGCTTTTAGTTATCACCTTATTATGCTCTAGGGCTGTGTCTAGACTGGCATGATTTTCCGCAAATGCTTTTTGCGCAAAAGCGCTTTTTGCGGAAAAGTCTTAGTGACAATCTAGACGCGGTTTTGCGCAAGAAAGCCCCGATCGCCATTTTCACCATCGGGGCTTTTTTGCACAAAACAGTTTTTACCTGTTTACACTGGCCCTCTTGCGCAAAAGCATTTGCGCAAGAGAGCTTATCCCTGAGCGGGAGCATCATAGTATTTGCGCAAGAACATTGACAATCTTACATTAGCTCGTCAGTGTTCTTGCGCAAATTCAAGAGGCCAGTGTAGACAGCTGGCAAGTTTTTCCGCAAAAGCAACTGCTTTTGCAGAAAAACTTGCCAGTCTAGATGCAGCCTAGAAGTTTGCAACTGGATTCCTTGATTATTGGTCCCATTGTCTTTTCTGGTACAGATGTAAAGCTGATTGCTCTGTATTTTCCACAGTTCTCCTTATGGAGCTGCTACCAATGATGCCCAAATGTATTCCCTGAGTTCCTAGTTAGGATGTTCCCCTGGCACATTTCTTGGGAAAAGTTTGGTTTTTTCCACTCTATGATTTTGATCAACAGGGTGAATGGGACTCTGTAGGGTAGGTTTCATTGTCGTCAGGAGCACTAAAGCGTATCCATGCTCTTGTATTCTTCTGGTGATAATTAACTCTTCCCAAACCACAATCTGTAGGACTCAGAGCCACTTAAGGTACCGTACAATATGGAATTGGTACTTTTATCATCAGTCTTCAATATTCTTTTATTGGAATAATGACAAAGATATTTTTCAGTTTGTGAAGCATGACCAAAGGGCTTCAAACCATGAGAACAGCCTCCAGTAATACAGGTAGTGTCTCATATTCACATTTTTCTCTCCATTCAGGCATTTGTATTGTGACCACAAGCCTGGATCTTGGACACATACAGGAAGTCAGAGCAAAAGACGGTCCATGTAGGAGACACAGTTCTGCCCCAGAGTTCAACAGTGTCTCTCCTACTCCATGTTGGATTCAAATAAAACAGACTTTAACAACCCCTCTACTTTCATCCTTCTGGGGATTCCTGGTCTGGAGGAGTCCCATGTCTGGATCTCCATTCCCTTCTGCACCATGTACGTCATAGCCATCTTGGGGAACTTCACCATCCTGTTCATTGTGAAGACAGAGCCGAGGCTCCATGAGCCCATGTACTATTTCCTCTGCATGCTGGCTGTCAGTGACCTGGTCCTCTCCACCTCAATCCTGCCCAAAATGTTGAGCATTTTCTGGTTGAATTCCAGGGTGATCAATTTCGGTGCCTGTCTTTCCCAGATGTATTTCATTCACTGTTCTTCGCTGATGGGATCTGGGATATTCGTGGCCATGGCGTTGGATCGCTACGTGGCCATCTGCTACCCCCTGAGACATTCGACCATCCTGACAAACTGTGTTGTGGCCAAGATCGGCCTGGCCGTGGTGCTGCGTGGCAGCATAGTGTCACTGCCCTCACCCTTCCTAGCAAGACAGTGGCCATACTGCAGAACCAACATCATTGCCCATTCGTACTGTGAACACATCGCAGTGCTGAAGCTGGCCTGCGCTGACATCCGCATCGCTAGTTACTATGGGCTCTTTATGGCATTCATGGTGACTGGTCTGGATGTGTTTTTTATCATTATGTCATATACACAAATTCTCAAGGCCATCTTCCGCCTCCCCACAAAGGATGCCCGAATCAAGACATTTGGGACCTGCAGCTCCCACCTCTGTGTTATTTTAGTTGCCTACGTCCCAGCTCTCTTCTCCGTTATCACGCACCGATTTGGCCAGAACATACCCCTGCATATCCATATTCTCATTGCCAATGTGTATCTGGTGGTGCCCCCCATGCTCCACCCCATCATCTATGGGGTGAGGACCAAGCAGATCCGGGACAGGTTGCATCTCATCTTTAATCAGAAAAGGGCGTGAGGTTTGCTCGTGGTGCTCTGGGTCTGACACTGAATTCTCTCCAGACCCTTCCCTGAATCACTGACTGGACAGTCAAAGACATTAAGTCCTTTCCTCGTCTTACTGTGCTGTGTTAGTGCGACAAACTATGAACTGGTCAATGGCAGTACGTCATAACCTTTGTAATGGTGATACCTGGACCCCCCCAAACGTCTTAGAACATAAGAACGTGCTAGCCCAGTATCCTGTCTACCGACAGTGGCCAGCACCAGGTACCCCAGAGAGGGTTGACCGAAGACAATGATCAAGCGATTTGTCTCCTGCCATCCCTCTCCAGCCTCTGACAAACAGAGGCCAAGGACACCATTTTATCCCCTGGCTAATAGCCTTTTATGGACCTAACCTCCATGAAATTATCTAGCTTCTCTTTAAACTCTGTTATAGTCCTAGCCTTCACCGCCTCCTCTGGCAAGGAGTTCCACAGGTTGACTACACGCTGTGTGAAGAAGAACTTTCTTTTATTAGTTTTAAACCTGCTACCCATTAATTTCATTTGGTGTCCTCTAGTTCTTCTATTATGGGAACTAATAAATAACTTTTCTTTATCAGCCCTCTCCACACCACTCATGATTTTATAGACCTCTATCATATCCCCCCTCAGTCTCCTTTTTTCTAAACTGAAAAGTCCCAGTCTCTTTAGCCTCTCCTCATATGGGACCCGTTCCAAATCCCTAATCATTTTAGTTGCCCTTTTCTGAACCCTTTCCAAGGCCAAAATATCTTTTTTGAGGTGAGGAGACCACATCTGTACACAGTATTCAAGATGTGGGCGTACCATAGTTTTATACAGGGGCAGTAAGATATTCTGGGTCTTATTTTCTATCCCTTTCCTAATAATTCCTAGCGTCCTATTTGCCTTCCCTTACTGCTCCTCTTTTATCATCCTCAGCTCCTTTTCTTCATATTTTTCACCAAGGCCCTGCTCTTGTAATTTACTCCTTGTTTCCCCTTCCCGTGTCACTCACTGGAGTCTTTTCCCCTTTCTTCTCCCACCCCTGACTTCAAGGGGGCAATCACAGATGTTGGTAGTAATGGCAACTGTAACTGTGAATTCAGGGGCTGCTTAGTCACTGGGAAACTCTAGATTTTGGTAGATAACTTAGCAGTTAGCTCTCAGGTACATTAGCAATTAGCGCTCAGGTACATTACAGCTCATTGCTATATAAATACAAATAAAATAAATACATGTAAGATACCCTCAGCTCTCACACTATCAGGTTCTGACCAGTTTTGTGGCAAGGCACTTCATGGACACTGGTTAGGGTGAAAAAATTAATAGATATGCTTACTTTACTACTAACGTTCTGAAGAGAAAGACCCCGGCATGGGTCTTAGGTTCTCGCCTAGCTGTGAGAGGGTAGCAGGGTCTAGTGGGTTACAGCAGGAGAGCAGAAAGCTGTAGGGTCTATACAAAACATCAGAATGACCATGCTGGGTAAAACCAAAGGTGCATCTAGCCCAGCGCCATGTCGCCGACAGCGTCAACACCACATGCGTCAGAGGGAGTGAGCGGAACACAGCCGCCATTAAGAGATTCCAGCTCTCTTGCCCTCTGCCTGCTCATGGCCATGGAGGCTGCGCACACCTACACTTCACCCCTAGTTCCTTCATCTGAAGTGGGCTGTTTCCAGGAGCGCCCATGATACCATCGACAGGTTTGGTGGGTCTCTAAGGTGCTGCGGGACCGCCCGTTGTTTTTCATGTTTTCCCGGTTACAGACTAATCGTTTCCCCCTCGGACGCCCTAGTTCTTCTGTGATGTGCAAGAGGAAACGGCATCTCCGTGTTCAGTGTCCCCACTGCTCAGAGCTGTCCTTACCGCTCCCCAGCCCACTGAAGTTAGCCCTTTCCTGCCCCACGCACCCTGTCGGATCACTCTCTGCATTTGGACGGGGTGCGAGGAGGCCTGTGGGGGCGGGGCTGAGGGCAGACGGCAGGCCCTGGGGGGGGCAGGTTGGACATGTGAGGGGGCTCAGGGCAGGGGTGGGGGGAGATGGGCTGGGCATTATGGGGGAGGACTTCCCGCGGGGACAGAGGTGTCGCTGCGGTGCAGGTGCTGGGGTGGGGCCCTGGGGCTCTTGCTGGCTCCAGCATCTTCCATGGGCAGTGAGGAGGGGCATTC